GTATTGAAATTATTTAGCATAATTAACTCTTTTCATTGCAAATTTAATGCTACCTAGTGATCTTACATCTTTGATAGTAACAAAGGGATGATGGCATTTTCCCTCGGGGAATCAAGAACAAACAAACAAAAATACACTAATAACTTGTCCTGTGGAGACTCTATCAGAAACTTCTAGAAGCTTACAGATGCTGAATTGGTAAAGGCTTGAGAATTATGAATTGTTTTTTCTTTGTATTTTCTTTATTAAGCTGATGTATTGCAATGTTTGCTACAGTTTTATGACCATTGGAAGATTTTTCTGAATTCAGTTATAGGGCTAGAAAGTATTTCTGAGCAATTAAAAGTGTTAATTTATGTATAAAATATACTTACAATAAACTTTTAGATGCCAACAATGTATTTTAAATATGAGTCGAATGTTCCTTTATGTCTTTCGCATATTGCTGCTGTAGGGGAGGAAAACATTTCCTCTACCCACTCTGGGCTCTTCTGGCCGGAGAACAAATCAAATTCATATGAGACAGAATAACAGGAGAAAATTAAACAAAGCTTCATAACATGTATACATGGGAGAGACTCAGGCAACTTGAGCAACTTGCCAAAATGGCCGAAGCCACCACCTTAAATATCCTCCTCAGCTAAAGACAAAGGAGGATGTTGGGGGTGGGGGGAGTCAGTCATGGGCAATTACCACACAAGCATTGTAAACAAGAGTAAGATTATTATGCAGACTTTAATCCTTGCCTTCCACATTGATAAGAGTTTCTAGAGATAAGGGCATCTGCCCCTTCCTGGTACAGAGAGGGAGACACATTTACAGATGGAGATTTCCTTTACAATGTAAATGTTTCTTAACAAAGGGTAAGTAAATTCTACTTTTCAGAGTTGCTTTCCTGTCTGCAGTTTTTTTAAGTACCCAGCCCAAAATAGTCCTCATGCCAAAGAGACATATCTTGGGGTTGCCAATTCCTGTCCCCCACACTGCCCACATCACTGAGAGGCTAAGTGACCTCATAAAATGCCTTACATTTTCCACCAAATTTAGCAATTTATAGGCGATTAATTCTTACCTGTCTTGCACAAATGCGGGGGGAAATTAAGTGCATGAAGTAATTCCAAACAGAACTATATTAATTGAATAGACATGCTGTATTAGTTTTGTTAAATCCAAAGGATAGCGGTAGGCAAGGCACTGGATATAACCCAACAAATTCTTAGTTTGGGCTCTTTAAGAGACAAGCACCAAATACTCTCAGTAATGAGGATTCATGATAAGAATATAAGGAAATGACTATCTGTTTAGTCAGCCAGATACTCCCTGTTCCAGACTTTCCAAATGCAAGAAGACACCAGACACAAGGGGAACCTTGGCTTCATCTGGAAGGCCCCCTAGCTATGTGACCTACCTTGTAATTAGCATCTACATCCCCCCAAGGAACAGATGCTTTACCTCTGTCCCATGTGGAACAGCCTTTGGGGCAAACTTTCAGGTCAAGCTGTTGTGGGGGCCTCTGTCCTCTCCAGGTAGAGCCCAGGCACCAATCTGTGGTTGTATCGTTGTTGCCAGAATGGCGGGGCTGGTTTCACACGACATGTAAGACACTAGATACAGGAGCTTCAGGCAGGCAAATACTCTTGATTCGGTACTTTTTTTTCCCTAGCAGGAAAGAGTGATAACAGATGATCACTTGGAAGCTACATGGCTGACTCAGTACATGTGTGGGCTGCGAGCAGGCTGGATAATCTCCCTCAATTATCTGGATGAATCAGGCAAAGTCGTTGGTACTTGACCTCCAAAATGAAGATAATTATAGCTTTGGGGACTGCTTCAGAAGGACAAAAGTCTTGGATTTTATTTTCAAAATGATTATCAATAGACTTATCTATCATGTTTAAATTGTGCATGCGGATTAAAATAAAGCTCCCTTAGTGAAGATCAAAACAACTGACAGGAAGATACTGTCCTTCTCAGTTCCCCTCAGTTTCCTTCTCTGTAGAATGGGGATAGTAATAGGAGCTACAGGAGGGTAGCGGTGAGTAGTAAATGAGTTAATTCAAATAAAGTACTTAGAATAGTCCCTGGCAGGAGCTGTTGGATATTACATTGTTATTAATAATTGCAAATACAACACAAACAACATTGTCTACCAACAGAGAAAAATAAAGCTTTCTGAAGAAAGTGAGTATTCCAAATCTGCTAGATAAGCTATTAGAAAGGTACAGGTTCTTTTTTTTCAAACGGAGACTGGAAAATACACCGACACTTTGCTATTCAAAGTGTGTGGTCCGTGGACCAGCAACAGCAGCCTCCCTGGGAGCGCGTTAGAAATACAGACGCCAGGCCCCAGGCCAGACCGACCCCATCAGGACCCGCAGTCCAGCGAGACCCCCGGGCGTTTCCCACGGACACTGATGCACGCGGCTCTAAATCTCGCTTGGGAACAAATCCTTTCAACAGGTCTTTGTCTTCAGGTTATAGTACTGAATGCTATGGTGATACGTCTAATTTTATTTTACATCTCCCATAAAAATTAGATTTTAAAAATGTTCATTTCTCTTGCCCGCCATGGGTACGTTTGTGAAGGAGGCGTCACAGAAGCGCCGCAGAAAGAGCGAGGGCGAGCCCCTCAGTTCGCATCCTCAGCCTCACGGCGTCAGCAGAATGGAGGGGCAGGCGTCTCAGTCCGTCTGTTGACCAAGGTACAGACCTGTCCCCACAAGTGCCCGGTCACCCTCTCTTTACCTCTCTTCCTTTGTCCCCTAAAAAGAGATGTGTTCGTGAGCTCAGAGGTGGTCTCTGCTCTCCTTTGAGGGCTGTTCTTTCTAGGACATCTGGGGAAGAGACAAGCCTCGGTTGCTCTCTGCTGTGGAGTCATCGGCTTCTCATCACTCCCGCCGGCGTGTTCCTCCAGCGCCGGCCTGGCCTCGCTCCGGGCAGGGGTCCCCGCGCGGTGTCCCCTGTCACAGCCCCCGCGGAGGGTGCGCGCGCAACGAGCCCCTGCCCTGCCCGGTCCTGAGGCGGTTCCTGTGCACTAGGGAATCCATTGTGGGGACGCACACACTCACACACACACACACACATGCACACCCTTCTCCCAGGACAAACATCGATTCTCAGAGAAAGCACAAGCTAAATCAATGTTTTTCAAACTGTCATTTATGAACTTGTTCTCAAGAGCTCGTGAAAACATTTTTCCCCTTTAAAAACGAAGACGGAGAAGGTTAGGAACACTGGTGTAAACCCATAAGAAGGAGGAGAGCCCTCTCCGTAACTCGTCTCGGAAGCTTTCAAACTTGCCTATCTCACAATAGCATTATTTTTACCCGTTGCAGCGTCAGCTTCTAAGCGCTGCCCCAGCCCACCATCAGATGGACATCCATCCGCTCTCGGCTGCTTCTCCGGCCACCCGCGGCTTCATCTCCCAGACTTGGAGCCAGCTGTGTCTGTCTCTCTCCGCCTCTCAACCTGCCTCACAAGGAGGGGCTGGAGGGTCGGCCGCCTGGGGACTGCCCACTGCGGCGGTGGTCTGGGACCTCGCTGTCCTTGGAGGCCCCTGGCGTCGTGTCGTCCCCTTTCCTGTCTGGGGTTGAAGTTGACTGAAGCACTGATGGGTCCCTGAGGAATTAGACTGGAGGGCAGAGAACCTTTTTCTTTCTGCGATATCTGGTTCAGATGTTTGTAGATATTTTTCCAAATTCTAAAAGAAAATCGTCTTTTAGAATTTGTGATGTAGTGAAAGAAATACAGGAGTGATATTTGTGAGACCTGACAGTGTGCCTCCTTTCTCAGCCTCGAGCCCCTTAACTATAAAATGAGCTGAAATCCGTCACAGCGCTGAAAAAACAGTGTGTTGTTCTTAAATATATAGCACGTGATTTATTTTATGTTTTTTCGTACTACTTATTTTTGAAAATTTATACTCTACCTTGTCTCAGAATGGATTTAAGGGGCTTTACAAGGATACATAAAAAATAGCAAGAGAGCATAAATTAGAACTGTGTGAAGAACAAAAGGGGAAAACAAAGAGAGGGACAGAAGATGGAGCCAGGCGGCAGCTCCACGTGCAGGCGGCCCTGGATGTCTTGCCCTCCTGCTTCCGGAAAATGTTGTACATGGTCTACACCGGATGAGAGCATGCAGGGGAACGTCAATAAGGCTCCCTGTAGGCAAGGCAACCGGGACTAGCGTCTATCCCAAGTGTGGAGAGTCTTCTTGCTTCTGAGGACCACTGACCCACCAAAAATTTAATCAAGCACTTTGTATAAGTCAAAGACAACTTATTTATTAGAATTATTTTGAAGAGTGATAGAACAATTGTTCTATACATTTCTTTTTTAAATTAAGAAGAGGCACCTCTCATATAAAAATATTTAATAAATTAGCACACGTAGGAATCAACCTATTCCAGTTTCAAAGATAGTCAGTTAAACGAGGGCAGAATTCGGGAGGAAGAGACCTACAGGGGGCTGGAGCGCACTGGCCAAGAGATGAGGGACACACACGACTGCTCTGAGCAGCTAGGAGGCTCCAGACCTTGGATTCAAAATGAGTGGGTGGGCGGTCTGATTTTAAAACAAGGGCTGGCAAGAGAGGCCTGAAAGTAACGCTGAAAAGGCTTTGGCTGTTTGGAGCAGGTCCTAATGCTTCTTTTGTCCACTGGGTAGCGGCAGTGTTGGGCGGGAAGGTTACTGATCTGTGGACAGAGAGCTGAAACCACAGACATCAACATGTAGGAACCAGGTAAGGTTCTCCAGCCTCACCTTTTGCCAGCCTCCAGGCCCCTAGCACACCTCCAAATATATACTCACACATGCGCATATGCACACACTCATGTACACACACACATTCATACACATGCACAGACACGCTGACACGCGCATTCACACACACACTGAGCCTTTGCAGATTGCTGAGGAGGCCTTGCTCCCTCTCACCTCAGTTGTGAGCACAAGCTGAAGACCCCTTTCGCAGGTTTCTCCCTTTTCCATCCCCACTGCCCTCCCTTTTCCCAGCAAACCCCACTTGTCCCTTATTCCATTTAAATGTCACTTCCTCCCGGAAGCTTTCTCTCCAAATCCTGGACTGGTAACTCCCCTTAAGCCACAGCTTTCACAACAACTTTGCTCAAAGCAGCACACAAAAGAGATGCGTTGCCGTAACATCTAACAAAAGAGATTTGGAGAGGCTACCGCATCAGAGAAGATCTGCCAGGGCCCCGGGGACACACCTTCCACCGCCTGACACGCAGGCACACAGTGAGACGAACACAGAATAAGCAGGAGAGGCTAGAAATTTTGGATGGACAGCAACAGATGGAATATTTATTTATTTTAAATGCTTTTTTCTGGGAGAGCCACATGAGATGTGTATCTTATTTCCCGAGAAGTCTCCGGGGAAACAGCTGCCATGCGGTTTCATCCCAGAACTCTTTAGTACAGTACAAACAGTATAATGGCGGACAGACAGCCTTCACTGCCGCCCACAACGGTACAGAGCAGCCACGACTGCCCTCCGCTCTACCCTGTGACTTCTTCTTAATGTGATGTGTTCCCTACAATAAAACAGGGCAGTGACCTTTGGGTATTAAATCAGGTTTCCTGCTCCAGGACTGTGATCAAAACATTCTCATGCTGTTTTTTTCCTTCCGAATGGAACCAAAGTGCTTTAAGAAAATTTACCGAATCCTTGAAAAACTAATGATGCCTTTCTAGCCTCAGGTAAGTTATTGCAAAATTTAATTTCAGCTAAACTACCTGAGATTGCAAACAGCAAAATAAAGCATGGTACTGACCTGCGTGCTGCATGGCTGTTTTTCTCTCTGACCCGCACTTCAGAGTGAGCCACACTCTTGCAAAACACTCAGGGATGCCCAGAGTCTTGCAGTGACTCCAGGCATCTGTGACATGGACTTTTGTCCCTCTCGGCTCGTAGGTAGAGAGTCATGGTTCACCCTTTGTAAGCTCATTCATTCAACAATGTTTTTTCTTAACTAGAATGAAAATCAACTTTTTTTTTCTGAGAGTTTCATCATTGGAAACAAAAAGAATAGACACCCAGGATGTATATAATATTTTTAAGGCATTGCATCTGTACATTTAGTCATTTATTGCATGTTATCTTTTTATTTATATTTTTGGCTAGCTAGAATCCATTTCTCCTCTTTTTGAGAACAGCATCCTGACATCCTTTTGGTGAAGTACCCTTCCTCCCTCTGTGGGGCCCTGGTAGGACCATCAATCCAGGCATGCTGCCCTCCCCTTGCCAAAGGACAGGCCCGGGAGCTAGGTTAGATCAATTTCAAGTTAACTGATGGGAAAATAAAATAGTTGGCACTGTCCCGTTCCTGGGCTGGGACCCTGATGAGTTAAGCTCTAATTAGGGGCTGTAGATTAGTTCCTGCTGCTTTGTCCTCCACAACCTCCTTGATTGTTCCCTTCCCAGGCTGGGTTTTCAGCATTCCCTTCAGTTCTGTGAGCCACTAGTACCTTTCTGATAATTTGTTTTTTCTGCTTAATAGATTACTCGTGCTTGGAACCAAAGAATCCTTATTACGAAAGAATTTACAACCAGATGTGATGTTGAGGATAAAGGTAAGGAAGATTTTAAAAAAGCAAAAACAGGGGCCAGCCCAGTGGCGCAGAAGTTAAGTGAGCACATTCTGCTTCAGCGGCCCGGGGTTCACCGGTTCAGATCCTGGGTGTGGACATGGCACCGCTTGGCACACCATGCTGTGGCAGGCGTCCCACATACAAAGTAGAGGAAGATGGGCATGGATGTTAGCTCAGGGCAGTCTTCCTCAGCAAAAAAAGAAAAAGAGGAGGATTGGCGGCAGATGTTAGCTCAGGGCTAGTCTTCCTCAAAAAAACTTTAAAAAACAAACAGAAGAGGAGACAATAGTTCAGTGTATTAGTGAGGAACAATGGAAGGCTAGCCAGCTAGGACCATGGTCAAAATCATGTCACAGACTCAGTTCAGGGAAGGGACACCACTGCTGCTGCCTCTCTGTGCTGAGTGCCACCGCAGCCCCTGGGCTCTGGATGCTGCCACTGAGATCAGGGCCACTGCTGTGTCTGAACAGTGGACATGGTGCTGCTCCCTCAACCTAAATGGGATTTTTCCCTATTCGGAGTCAGAGATCCAGCGGGTGCTTATAACTGACTGAGTGGCGGTCACATGTTCACACCAGCTGTCGAGGAAAGGGAAAGTGAGCATCTGCCATTTCAACTGCTCTGGTGGAAGGGGAAGGTGCATGGTGCAGAATTTCACATATTGTGGTGGAAGATCCTGCTGCTGGGCAGCTCATGTCTACAGTTTTCAGTAAAATTAGTTGGGTGGTGTCAGAAATGGGTCAAAAGTGAGGATTATGAGAAAGATTACGACAATATAATTGATGCTGAAATTTCAACCTAAAAAACTTGATTGAACAGTCAAACTAGACCTGTATGAAATATATAGAATATAAAGCAAAATGATTGATTAGTATTGTTTTTATGAAAATATGAATTATACATTTCTTTGCACATTAGAAGCCCTGAGACAGAGGTCTCCAGCTAAACTGCACCTGCATTCCTGACCCACAGAAGCTGTGAGATGGTAAATATTTGCTGTTTTAACATGCTAAGTTTAAGAGTAATTTGTTACATTTCAATTGGTAACTAATATACACCCCAATTAAAAGGCAGAGAGATTCAAATTGGATAAAAAAGCAAGAGTCAACTATGTGCTGCCAATAAGAAACATGCTTTTAGAAAGACACACAACAAAAGTAAAAATATGGAAAAAGTATCTCATGCTAACAATAATCAAAAGACAGCTGGAGTGGCTCTATTAATAACAGATAAAATAGATTTCAGAGCAAAAATATTACCAGGGAAAGACAGGATCATTTCATAATGATGAAGGAGTCAATTCATCAAGAAGATACATTAATCCTGAATGTTTATGTACCTAATAAGAGAGCTTCAAAATATACGACAACTTCAAAAACGGTTATAATCGCAAAGAGAACTGGACACGTCACAATTACACTGGGAGATTTCAACACTCCTTTATCAATAATTGATAGAACAAATAGAAAATAAATAAGGCTATAGAAGACTTGAACAATACTGTCATCAAACTTGATCTAATTATTATTTGTAGAACGCCCCACCAGCAGCAGCTGAATACACCTGCTTTTCCAATGTACGTGAAACATTTGCTAAGATAGACATTCTGAACTGTAAAATAAGTCTCAGTAGATTTAAAAGGATTTAAGTCATACAAAGTATTTTGTATACAGTGGAAATAAATTTTAAATCAATAACAGAAAGTACTCTGGAAAAATCCCCAAATAGTTGGACACCAAATAACACACTTCTTAAAAAACCTCATGGCTCAAAGAAGAAATCAAACGGGAAATCAGAATGTATTTTAAACTGAAGGAAAATGAAAACACGACGTATCAAAATTTGTGAGGTTCGTTTAAAGCTGTACTTAGAGGGGAATCTGTTGCACTAAATGTCTATATTAAAGAAGAGAAGGAAGTTTTCAAATGAATGACCTGGGAAAACAAGAGCAGATGAAAAAGAATAATAGTATAAGAGAGCATGCAGGAGAATTTGTGAGGAAGTTGTTACAAGAAAAGAAATAATTAAGATCTGAGCAGAAATCAATGAAATAGAAAACAGAAAAACAATAAAGAAAGTGAAAGAATCCAAAACTTGTTCTTTGATAAGGCCAATAATATTGATAAATGTCTAACCAAACCAATATAGAGAAAAAGACAGCAGACACGAATTACAAAATTATCCTGTATCTATTAAAGAAACTGAACTTTTAATAAAGAAATTTTATTTCTCTTAAGGAAAACTTCAAGCCCAAATGGCTTCACTGGAAAATTCTACCAAACATTTAAGGAAGAAATAATATCAGTTCCACACAAAATCTTCCAGAAAATTGAAGAGAGAGGAATACTTCCCAGCTCATTTTGAGGCCAGAATTATTCTGATACCAAAACTGGGCAAAGATATTACAAGAAAAGGAAACTGTAGACCAAATCCCTCAGGAACACAGGTGCACAAATTTTTTAAAGTTTAGCAGTTTGGGTTTAACAATGTATAATCAAAATAATACATCATGGCCAAGTATGGCTTATCTGAAGAATAAAAGGTTGATTTAAAATTTGACAATCTATTCAATATATTTCACTATATTAATAGATTAAAGTAGAAAAATCATATGATCATGTCTAGAGATGCAGAAAAACATTGGACGAAATCTAGCATCCATCCTGATAAAAACTGTCTGGAGAATAGTAGGACTATAGCGAATCTATCAGAAAAACCCCTGACCAATGTCATGCTTAGTGGTGAAAGACTGTTTTGTCCCCCAGAACAGGAACAAGGCGAGGATGTTCCCTCTCCCCACTTCTGTTCAACACTGTCCTGGAGGTTCTAGCGGGGACAATCAGGTGAGAAAAAGAACTAGAAGTCATCCATATTGGAAAGGAAAGGTTAAAATAATCTCAGTTCTCAGATAACTATGATCATCTTCAGAGAAAATCTGAAGGACTTTACAAAAAACGTACTGGAACTAATAAGTCTCAGGATGTAAGGTCAATATACAAAAATCAATTTAATTGTTATGTACTAGCATTGAACAATTGGAAATTGAAATTTGAAAAACTATCAGTTATATTACCATAATAATATGACTCAGGATAAATCTCACATAAGATGTACAACATCTAGAAACTAGAAACTACAAAACATTTCTGAGAAAGATCAAAGAAAACCTGGACCAATGGCGACGTAGGCCACGTTCAGGGGTTGGAGGACTCAATGTTGTTGAGATGATAGTTCTTTCCTAGTTTGTCTACAGACTCAGTGCAATCCTCGTCAAAATCACAGCAGGCTTTGTTGCATAAATTGACAAGCTATTTCTAAAATTCATGCAGAAATACAAAGGACCTGAAATAGTCAAAACAACTTTGAAAAAGAATAAAGTTAACAGACTTATATTGTCTGACTTCAAGACTTACTATAAAACTACAGTGAACAAGACAGGTGGTAAAAATGGACAAATAGATCAGTGGAACAGAATAGAGACCCACACATAAATGCACTATTATATTTCAACAAAGGAGCAATGGTGAAGAAAAAGTTTCGTTTTTCTACTTTTTTCAGCAAAGGTGGAGAAAGGATGTTTCTTTCAACAAACGGTGCTGGAACAATTGGATATCCATGTGTAAAACTATGAACTTTGAGATATAACTCAAATCATATACAAAACTTTCTTGAAAATGAATCAGAGATCTAAACGTAGGATCTAAAGCTATAAAACTTTTAGCAGAAAACATAGGAGAAAATTTGTGTGTTTCAGTTAGGCAAAGATTTCTTTGATACAAAACGTTATAGGTTATTGTGAGAACTAAATAAAATAACACAAGTGAAGCTCTTAGCACCAATGGCAGACCCAATAAAAGTGGATCTTTTGTTTTAAATGTATACATTACTTTGAGGTTTATGCATGCTCTTTAATTTGAACCTTAGAATAGCCATTGGCAGTAGCGAGAGATTAGCCACGTTGAAACTGAAGCTCAGAGAAGTTAAGTGACTTATGTTGCCCAAGGTCACCGTAGCAGACAAAAGTGAATTTGGCTTCAAGCACTAACGTAATTGGCTAACAGAAGCTGCAACAAGTATGGGTTCATTTTTCTCACATAAGGAAAAGTTGGGTGGAGGGCATTGCTGGTGTTGGCTTGGTGACGGCATGGTCAGGCAGGGCTCAAGGGACACGGCTCTGTGATTCTGCTGGCTTTCCTCTCAGGGGGTAGGAAGGCTACAGCATCTCTGCTCAGCGGAGGTGCCGGGCCTGCACTTCTCTCCACACCTCCCTCTTCTCAGGAGGAGAGAGCCCCCCCTGGAATCTCCACAGACTTCCTCTTCCATCTCATAGTCCAGAGCTGAGCTATAATTTCCATCCCTGGATTAGCAGTTGGCTCCACCTTCCTCAAGATGCAAGAACCTCTGCTACATATGTGAACAAAATTGGGATTTTGTTAGCAGGGATAATGGAGGAATGACTCTGTGACAAACATCTGCCCCCACCACACAGACAGTCATGGAGACGCCTGGACTCAAGCTGGGTCTTATGACGTCAGTGCCCCTTCCTTTGCCGCTACATAAAACCAGCCTAGCACTGTGGCACTGCACCAGCATGGGGATACAAGGATGAAAACTCATTCTCAGACCTCAAGAGTTTTCAGTTCACTGAGAAGACAGAAAGCAGTTGTAAGAACAAGCAAATAAAATACCATTAGAAATCTACATTTTTATATATAAATATGTCACACTGGGTACATGGAAGTCTGACTGGAGGAGTTAAGCCTCACTGAGGAAGTAGCATTTGCAGGTGAGCGGGCGTTTACCAGGCAGTCTTGACCACCAGCGGGCTGAGGGAGTGCAGAGAGAACAGTGTGTCCAAAGACACAGAGGAGTGAGCGAGAATGGCATTTTCAGGGTTCATTATTACTGTGTAATTTGAAGCTTAAAATGCAAGAGGTGAGTGATAGGACTACCAAAAGTTGAGGATAGACAGGTAGGCTGCAGATGTTTGATAGGTTAGGGGAAACAACAAAAAAAGCCTATTTGATGGGGCCAGGCCAGTGGCATAGCGGTTAAACTTGTGTGCTCTGCTTCAGCGGCCCAGGGTTCTTGGGTTTGCATCCTGGGCACGGATCTACACGCTGCTCATCAAGCTGTGCTGTGGAGACGTCCCACGTACAAAGTGGAGGAAGACGGGCATGGATATTAGCTCAGGGCCAATCTTCCTCACACACACACAAAAAAGCCTATTTGGTCGGGGAATGTCGAGATCAGATTTGTAAAAGATCATGCTAAGGTTTTTAGTGAAAAGACGAATCTCCTTCTGTCTCTGCATAAAATAACCAGGATGGCAGCTGAGGCCATTCTATCGTTGGAAAATTAAATGAGTTCAGTTTCATCCTTAGGTTGTCCAGGTACTATGGGAAGTTTGATGCTTGCTCTAAGATTTTGGCAGTTTTCCAGGAGCTGCGTTAGTTTCCTAGGGCCGTGGTAACAAAGTTCCAACAAACTGGGTCGCTTAAAACAACAGAAACTTGTCCCACAGCTCTGGAGCCCAGAAGTCTGCAGTCAAAGTGTCAGTAGGGCCAGGCTCCCTCTGAAGGCTCCAGGGAAGAATCCTGCCTTGCCTTCTGTGGCCCCAGGCATCCTTTGGTTTGTAAGGGCGTAACTCCAATCCCTGCCTCCATCTTCACGTCACCTTCTTCTCTCTGTGTCTCTGTTCCTCTCTTCTTATAAGGGCACCAGTCATTGGATTTAGGGCCCACCCCAATCCCAGGAAGGTTTCACCTGGAGATTCTTAACTGCATCCACAAAGACCCCGTTTCCAAATAATGCTACATTCTGAGGTTTCTAGTGGCCATGAATTTGGGGGGGGATACTATTCAACCCACTACAAGAGCTCGTTGTCTCATGGCTAGTTCTGGCTCTGAGCTTCTGCTCATCTTAGAATCTAAATATCGTCTCCATGGGTATACTATTTTCTTTGCTACACGCCAGCCCGGATGTAGAGCTCAGTCTCTGACCTTGATGCGCTCTAAATCCACTCACTCAGGGTATTTATGAGTACCAAAGACT